AGCTGGCAGAAGGGAGCACACACAGGCCCCAGCTGCTCCCAGCCAGGGAAGCTCGGTGTGCCCGAATCCAGACTGTGATACCCAGAAAGATGAGATGCAGGCACGCAGCCCTTCTGGCAAGCGCTGCTGCAGGAGCGGGGATCTCCAAGGAGAAGAGGCAGACAGCTGGGACAAAAGGGAATACAATAAAGCTGCTGTAGCTTTCTGTTTATGACCGAGGCAAAGACTTCAGGATCATTCCTCTCAGATGTACCTTCTCAGAGACAGCAGCCTAATGACTGAAGCTAATTGAAAGCTACAGCAACAATGAATGGGAAGTCTCACCCTTACCCAACACGTGGTCCTGCCAAGGATCAACACCGAAGGGATCTGACTGAAAGTGAATCACACAAACAAAAAAAAAAATCCAAACCAAAAACACCCCTTGTTTTCAGAGGCACCACTGAATGACCCCAGCACTGACAAACACTGAAGACAAGAATGCCCAGGGAAGTGAAGGCAGGAGGAGCACAGAACAGGAAGGATGAGTAAAAAAAAAAGTGACAGAAGCTTGAGGTGTCAAAAGTGAAAACTCACCCAAGCAATTCTTTGCCAGTCCCACTAATGTGGTATTTGGATAAAGTTCATTAGTCTGCAGCTTCACCTCTCCATCTTTTTGAAAGAAGTAGTGAACCCTGTTCATATTTACCAACTACAGCTTAATGTTTTTCTCCTGTTTACTATAGTAACTGAAAATAATTCAGCACCTTATCTAAAATCCCAGAAAATTAGATTTTATAAAATTCAAAAAGGACAGTGACATAAAAAAGTCAGCAGCAAGACAAATATTACAAGAAATGTAACATTAATGTGTTGCGGATGTTACTTTCAAACCCAGGTAACTCAGCTGCTACCTAAAGGTTGCTTCGGCTCCATTCATCCAAATCCTGGCTGTGTGCTCCTGCAACATTTTTTTGCATCACAACTGGCAAGTGTGTGGGTACAGGATGAGTTGGTTCAGTGAACTGACATGATGGAAAACTAATCCTCCAACGAAAAACAGAGAAAGTTCACAAATAAATCATTTTCTGCTAGATCAAGTCAATGAATTAATTCATTCTCATCTGAAGAATCACTTGGTCCATTGTGCCCAGAAAGGAAAGGAATATGTGGCTGGATGTAGAGGGGATGTGGAGTGACCTTTTCAGAAGCAGCCCACCCGCACAGCAGCTTCACTGTAATATTTCACACACATATATAGATATACACACATACCAATATTTGTATTTACAGTGTGAAGTGTGCAATTCTATTTCACAGCATTTCCTTCTTCCCCTACCCTATCTGATATTACTTAACAATAAGTCTTTAAAGCATTTAAGATAACTAAATTCCACATGAAGTCCTGTACTGATCTTTACAAATTGCTGCTATCTCAAGTTTTCATTCTACATTCCAACAGACACACTATTCCAGCAGCATACACTCCAGTGGGACAGATCTGTTAATTACAGCTAAGTTTCATGTTTGCATGAAAGAACTAGAAGCCTCTTCCCAGCATAACCAAAATCCAAGCAAACCCTGTCACTACAGCTCTTAGGAGTTTTAAGAATGAGACTTCTCTAATGCTCCTGAAAAGTATTACAATGACACAATTTATAAATCAGACATGTATGAAGAAGATGAAATAGTTTATTTCCCTCCTGGGGATTTAAAAAAGCACTGGGAACATCTTTAGCACTTTTCTCCTCCATGTGTACCTGTGAAGGGGTTGTTTTGGTTGGTTTGGTTTCTAAAGAACAATATTCTGCTGGAAGAGAATCTTTGTCTAATATTCTCTGTAACTTAACAAGGCTCACTGGAAACCCCGAGACCTTTTTAATCAAGACAGGATCTCCTACTGCTCACTTTCCTTCCTGATGTTACTCAAACAGTAATTTCAAATTTCCACTTTAATACCATCTTTAGCTTTGCCTCCTTCATGCTTTCCCTAGAAGTGCTTCCTCTCATAGATTCTGGTATGAAGCCGATGTGGTTATCAATGAATACTCCATTGTTTGCACATTTTCAAATGCTCATAAGCCTTCCACCCATTTCCACTGTTTCCCCAGATAACCCATTTCCAATTTTCCACTTTAGCCCCTACATAATAATAATCGAGAAAATGTCGTCACTGACAAAGATGACTAATCTCTCCAGAGCTCTTATATATTTCCTTGGGTTTCCTCTTTTGCCATGTTCCCAAAACTGTCTTCTTTTTCGAGATAAAACTATTCAAGATTACAAACACAGTTTGGTAAAACAGGAAACAATGGCTTTATGTTTAAACTTGGCATTAATCACTCAGCCCATTCTTCCATCTTTTCCTTAAGACTTCCAATTTGCTTATGTAATTTCAATAACTTGGTATATTGTTTCTTTACTAGAGATTTCCCTTCTTCCAAAATGCTTATTACTGCCTGCAGCCTGAGTTTTAAACATAGCCACAGACAAACCCGTTTACAAATGCATCACAGAAAATTACATATCGATAGATTTTCTTCTGTTTGACTTCATCCCTGCTCCTTAGAGGTGCCCTCAAATATTTTATTGGTTTATGCTTAAAGCTAATTTGACAGAGACTGTCTACTCAGTCTTACATGAGGCATCACAGAAGGATCAAAATTGGTTCTCCCAGCAACTGATGCTGAGGTTGGTGCTTGTGAATATCTCAAAAGCAATCTAATTATAATCTTTCCTATGGTGCAGGACAAAAATTTCATTTCATGGCTGGCTACATCCCTTGAAACTCGTTGTTTAATCACAGCCTATTCCAGAGATACACAGAACTGCCTAAAAGGCAGAGAAAAGGCAAAGAATGAAGGGCTGAAGAGAGGTGAAGGACCAGAAAGGGTCAGTGAAGGAAATGTGCATCAGGCTGACATAAAACTGGTTCCAAGTAAAGGGAAAGGGGAACACTGAGCCTCATTTGTCTTGACAGAGCTCAGGAAAGAAAGCTTGACCCAGACCATAAACCAGCATAAAAACAGTTTAAAAAACACATAATCACTAAGTCTTGACTAGATCAATAACAGTCACAGCAACACAGAAAAGTGACAAAATCTCCATTAATGTATGGTTAACTGCTTTTGTAAAACACAAACAGGCCCTCAAATCCAAGGGTGTGAGCTGATTAAAGGTTTAAAAGAACTTGCATCCAACACTGTGGCATTATTCAAACCCAAACAACATGGAGAAGAAAACAAAACGCAGCCTCATTTTCAGCCCATGACAGAATCTGCAGAGTGTATCAACAGAAAGGTCTTCTGGGTGGTCTTTTGTAGGGCAGAGTTTAGAATTCCAGCCTACTCATGGCTCAGCTGCATGGAGAAAAGCAGGCACACACAAAGTGCAGATTCTCTGCCTTTCTTTTGGAGTGCCAAAAACTTGAAAAACCCTCAGTGGCAACCAAACACTCCCCCAGTCTGGCAAGTACTCAGCTGGAGTATATGACAAATCTGGTACTAATGTGCATTAGGAATCCTGGAACAAGAAAACAGTCTGGAGTGGACCCTTTAAGTGACAGTGGTAAGAATTAAACAGATGCTCCAAAACATTTGCTGAGGGTCTGCTCCCATCTTGCCAAGTTCTTCCAGTCAGGGAAGAACTTAGGGCTAACTTTCTCTTACTTACTGCCTCCTACACCAGCACACTACACTGCCCATCCCAGCCAGGATTGTGCACACACACTGCATCTGTAAGCAAAGCAAACTCCCAACACTTTATTGTTGGTTAGGTTATCAGCTCATGAAGAGATGTTTTCTTTTTAAATATAAAAGTGTTTAAACTTGCCTTTTAAACAACAAGGAGTTTCCACAGATCAAGATCCAATTTTGAAATAGTAAATTTTTAAATTTGCCTTCTCCTTCCTAGAAAAGATTACAAGAAAAACTAAAGAAAACTTTTCAACTCTTATTTTATGGAAAGATGAAAAATACCAAATGAGGGAATTGGATCTCTCTTAAGAGTTACTTAAGCAAGAAGAAACCCCATAATTATTTCGCAGTCAAAACGCAGAGATAGAATTTTCTACTTCAAGCATTAAGTAGTTTTCAAGACAACACTGAAAAAGTAACAATTTTCCAAAGAGCAAAGTACTTCTAGAGCAGGGAGATAGGTTTTTTCCTAAGAGTGCAAAAATACTTTGCTTGATTGTTTGACACTTAAGGGTAGCAAGTTAGGAATTGAAACAAGAAAATCTGCATTTAGCATTACAAATATGAACACCCTAGCTGGTATTGGAAAAAAAAAAGGAGTTGAATGAGTAAAAGAAAACATGTTTTTTCAAGGGTCAAATACACTTTAATACATGTAAGATCAACTCCTAAAATCCACACAGACCTTGGGGTGTGATTGTGACCCTCAGTGTGAGCCACAGAGCGGCACCTGGGCCCATGTGAGCACTCCTGAGACAATCAGCACTTAACTGCAGGATAAAATCCAGAAGCCTTTGACCCTGGTGAAGCCTTCGGGATGAAATATTTAAGGAGAATTGCTTATGGTATTTAACCACACACCAGTGCCTTTTCCTCCAGAAATGTATGGGGATTTTTTTCCCAGCAGGGCCAGCACTGATCTGCTTGAGTTGCCGCGCAGAACAAGTGCTAAGAAAACATACAAGAAACCCGAGGACTTTACAAACTTAGCTACATTAGAATTTTGGAGACTAAAACGTTACAAGGAAAATATAAAGGTAAAAAAGATCCTTAAATCAAGGTGCTACAATCCTACCCAGCTTTCTAAACACATGGTCTCTAAGACTTATAAGGCTCAGAAAATGCTGAGCTTTCAAAATTTCCATTTCTGCCCGCCTTAGGCTCATTTCAGGATGCCCTTTTGAATAGTTTGGCCCAACTGTTCATGTGACTTTCTGGTGCCAAGATGACAGTAACAAATACTTGCATAACTACATCTATATACATAAATATTTGCGCCATTTCTACGAAAACCCCCAAAAATTTATAGAACAGTTTTGTACCTACCAATCCACCATTGTCACATGTCCAAGCACTTGGATCAAAGTCAAGTTTGCTGACACAAACGATAAATTTCTCTGGAAACACACGGAGCTCTACACAAAAAGAATTGAAAAGAGGATTACAAAAATCATAACCACTTTCAAAACCACTCATAACAACATACATGTTATTTTAGTAAACAAAATTACTTGTTTTTTTAATTGCACACTAACTCATTTAATGCACCTCTCTAGCTTCTCACCTACTCTCTTCTACATGCCACCCCTCCTTTTGTTTTGTTTTTATAAGGCATTCCAAAAAATCAATAAGTAGATTAAATTGAGTTCCCAAGAGGACAGTCATGGCTGCACATTAGTCCACCTGCACCCTGGACAGGAAGACCAGACAGAACCAAGAGACAAACCACTTAACAAGGATTTCTTTTGTGCTGTTCTGGTGATGAGTCTTTTCATCACAAAAGCTGAACATCAGGTTTGTAGCCCAGAACAACATTCAGCCAGGGCTTGGCATCAAACCTCAGCATAAAGCCGGGGCACAGAGTTTCACACTCTGGCTACAGAGATTTTTGAAGTCATTAAACAAAGTGGTTAACTACTACTGAATTACACATTTTACTCATGATCACATGGTTTGTTATGAACACAACAAAGTTTCTGTTTACAAAGGATTGAAAATTGAAGGGTTCTCAGATTAGAACAGACAAGACAAAGCTTTGTTCAGTACCTGGCAATGCTATGGGAAGAGCACAGCTGGATATTTTCTTGCTTACATATGGAATTTTTTCCAGATCAGTATCCTCATATTTTCAGCTCTGATTTTTTTTTTTTTTTTTTTTTTTTTTTTTTTTTTTTTTTTTTGTTGCTGGGTTTTGTTTTTATAAAAAGAGAATTTAAAATTTTTTGAAGGTTGTTATATTTCAGAATGAAGCCATAACACTCTGTTTTTGTGTGACAAGAAAGAGACAAGGCTTGCAGAAAAAAACCTATGAGATTGATCTCACAGATGTTTTTTTTTTTAGAATTGAAGAACAGGGCAAGTTGCTTCCAGTAATATGCTTTTATAGTTACATTTTATAACAATCTCATCTGCGGGCTAGCAAAATGCAGGTATCTTTAGGTATTCACTGATGCTTTAGAACAGTTCAAATTTAATAGACAGCAAACAGTGTTGGGATTCCAGTGCAGACACTCTGAAATTCTATTCTAACAGGACAAGTTTGATGGAATATTTAAAGTCAGCACTGATCTCTTCAGCCAATATGGACTTAGAATACAAACAGTTGGCATTTGAAGACAAATTTAAACATTTATGAATATTATGAATGCCTACAAAAACAATACATTATTTTAAAATATCCATTCAATTATTCAGTACTGTTACGGACTTTGCTTTTTTTTGTTTAATGCCAAGAGGACAGAGCAGAGGGCAGTGATCATTACAGCTCCCTTGCATTGGTGTTGGCAGGAGAGGATTGATTTCCCTTCCTTCCAGAGCATCCTGGCCTGAGAGAACATGAAGAGAAGACGTGGTGCAATGACATCACCTACGTCAGGACCGTACAGGTGTGTGCTGAACGGAAGCCTTTCCTGCACACACTTGTGCTGCATGTTGATGTCACAAGACACTCGAGCAATAATGGAGTGATTCATGCTGCAACCTCTGCTTGATTCACCCTGCAGAGACTCAGGAAAATGCTGAGTCTCACCATACTTACAGAATTTGGTGAGGCTTAGCTGATTACCCTGGGGCAAGACATACCCAAATTTAAAATTAAGTTTAAAAAAAAAATCCATCTTATCTCAAGAAACACTTCTCTTTTTATTTTTGTTGTTGTTTCCAGGAAATCATCTTTTTAAAATGCAAACCAAAAAAACCCCACCAAAAAACCCAAGCTCTGAAAGCAATTTTGATTTAAGTAGATGAAAATATGACAGTGTCTTAGCTATGTTCCCTTTCTTTCTCCTCTAAGTAGCTCTGTAAGAAACTGATTTCTTACCACGATAACGTTTCCCTAGAGCACAACGGAGATTAACCCATCTCTTCATAAAGTAGGCAGTAATGTGCAAACTGTTGGCTGCAACATAAAACAAAGGGATAATATTAAGTGTAAGGGTATCTTGGGCATTCTGGTCTCAGTGTTGCACATCTGCTAAGACTGGATTGAGAGAAAGCAGCAGCAGCTCAACGATACAAAGGGAAAAGTAACTTTAATGGAATATTTTTCAAAAGAAACTGCCGCTCATACTGAAGTCTCAAGAAATTAGTGCCTGAAACAGAGCAAAAATCTAGACAAATGAACAACCACCAAGTTCTGTAACCGAACCACAGAAATAAAATTAATTAATTGATCAGAGGTGTCATTTGCTTAATAGTGTGGTGTCACGGTCACTTAATAGTGCGGTGTCATGCTTTCAAACACATTCCACAGGAACACTACAGATATCCATTTTCGTAACCACCTTCTAGAGGAAGGTGACAGACCTGGTGAGGAAAAAAAATACTACAAGGAAACCCAAGCATGAAAGGGCTCAGTTCTACAGTTCCATTTGAATGAGGTGAGAAATGGCCACATCTGAACTCCTCAGTAGGTACAGCAGCCCGAGCTGGCCTGGCTGACTCAGCAGGAACCTGCAAGCTTCAGAGGCTTTTTCACTTTCTGTTCCCAAGAATGACAGAAATCGTTGTGCATTACCAGTGTAGGAAATGGACAGAACAGATTCTATTATGGCTGAGAAATTATTAGGACATCAGCTTTTACTTTTGTTCTACTTCAATTCCCAAATGACCCTGGTAAATCAGTTAGCACTTCATTCATGAAGGTATTTAGCAAGCCGACTCCCACTGAAAGTGCACAACCTGACATCTGTGACTCATCCTCCTCGGTCTCCCTGTGCACCTCGCTGAAATCAAACTGTGAAAGAGGGCTGGTGACATTTCCCCTAACTTGGATGGGGTTTGCAAGACTTACATTATTGATGCTTTGAAGACAGTCAGCTACCCTAGGTGCAATTAGCACAGATACATTAGAATATTAAGTGCTATTGCTGTTTTTATAATCTAACCATTTAAAAAGGAGGGAAAGCTTGCTTGTTCCAGTCTCGATCCCTACAGAGCAAGTGCCAAGGCATGTCTTATTTCTAAGTATAAATGCACGTCCTCCTGAAGGGTCCCCCTCTCTCCTACTTCTGCAAGATCTTCTGGAGCTCACCATCGAGTGCCCTTGAGCCTCAGCTCTCATTAACAACTACAGTTATCAATCACAATCAATCCCTTTGAAATTTATCAGCCATCTTTTTTCCTTCCCCTCAGGAAGACACCCAAAATTTGACTTCCTTTTAGAGATCGAGTCAAGATGTGACAAGTTGAACCATCCCTTAAAAATGATGAGCACCAGAGAAAAATTTGGATGCAATCCACCAGCTTTATTAACTGTTTACTTAAAAGAACAATTAAGGAAAATTACTTTTAGCTATTTCCAGTTTGGCATCTACAATTCTTTATCACTCCTAGTAGGCTTAGTCAAATCAAAGAATTTGCCCTGTATATAAATAAGTTATTAGTGTGATAACAACATATGCCACTGTGACCTTGGACAGCTGAGAAAGTAGCATTCCTAAAAGTACAACTTGGAAAACAAATCTTCAGACAGTAAATATTAAAAGTTTTTCTTTCTGCCTCTTTGTTGGCAATATTCCACATGTTTTGGGTTTTTTGTGAAAGGAATCTAAAACGAAAAAGTGTGAGTCTTTGTTTTTTACAGGAAAAGCAGGATGCTTCTCCCTTGAAATTCTTTTATAGATCAGTGACATCTATATCTGTTTGTTTTTCTTGCTGTCCTGGTATTGTCTGAGAGGTTAAGTGTTCAATCACACGTGATTGACTGAACAAAGTTTCAAATTCTCCTTAGAGGCCCTTGATTCAGCCAGCCACTGCTCTGTGGAAGAGAACACCTACCTCAGATCTGACAAAATAAATAATTATGTAAGAGATCAAGACATCTCTACAAACTATTTTTGCAGCATCAGCTCAAGTCTGAAAGTCTTATAAAGCCTTCACAGGGAACTGCACCTGAGCTGATAAGCTCAGCCCAGAGGGACTAACACTAAAAAATCATTTTAGTTTCCATGATTATTTAATAGTTTGATGAAAAGGCCTGAACAGATATTTGCTGCTAATTGTTGCTAAGCCTGAGAAAATATTAAGATGCACTACATTTAGGATATCTGCATTCTGAAAGTATCACACAGCTACACTCATTAAATGTTCTGAAACCCTCTTGTATGTGACATGTGATCTACTCTGTAGTCAGCTGCAATTTGAAAAACTCCCCGTTTTAAAGCTGTCAGAGTTACTGCAGAACTATAAAAATGGTGATATCCTCTTTCAGCTTCCCTCTGGGGAAATATTTTATCCAATTAACTATTCTGCTTCATGAAGAAAGAAACTTAAAAATAAGACCCACAAGAAAACTTTTTTCTCCAAGAAGCCCATGCGACTCACAGCTTTTTAAGCTTTCTACACAGTTACCCAGCATGAGTTTAAGTCTGTTCATGATCTGATGGAAGAACAGACCAACCGATACGTACCAAATGCTCCATCACTAACTTCTTTTGAGCACAACACAGAAGTTTGAACCTCAAGCTACAGATAGTTTTTTCCAGTAATGTAGAAAGTTCACACATCCTGGGCTCAGCAAACCTAGTTGATCCCATCTTCGATTTCCTCTTCACAGACAAAGCTCCCTTTGTGGATTACCAGCGCACAGGCAGAAACAGAATTGTGTTTAGTGACTTGAAGTTTTGTTTTTGTTTCAAAACTGGGCACTCTAAATCATCAGATCCAGGGTCCAAAAACAAAATGGAAAAACAAAACCAAACAAACAAATCAACCCCAAGGAAAGAAACAGACCCTGAAAGCCAAAAGGAGACTGCACAGAAGTGGTTCTAGAAAAGCCACAGTCCAGTTTCAGCTGAAATAGGCACAAGTGAGCACTGCCTTTTAAGGGAACAGTAATTTGCCCTGCTTGCTGTACTGCAGAGTCCCACGGCACGGAGGGGAAGCGTCAGACACCAACTCTCCCGTAGGAGTACCCAGCAACACTTGTTTCCCAGAGGAGACCAGGCAGGCTGCCCTGCGCTTCCAGAAGGCTGCCAAGAGGCGCCTGTGGTGCGTGTGCAGCCCTGGGAAGCCCTCTCCCACGGCTTGATGGACCATCCAGCTGGAGCCTGGGAAGATGCCTCTGAGCTGCGCAGCTACCTGCAGCAGCCTGGCAGCTGTTCACTCCCCAGCACCACCTGGCACCTGCCTGGCTCCCTGCTGCACTCCAGGCGTGTCCAGAGCCCCAGCACACGCCTAGGGCCAACTGCCCCCAAAACATTTCCATGTCTGACAGGCACCCGTTTCTCATCACACAGTGTTTTTATATCATACCTATTTTCTCTCCCAGCCTAGACACTTCACATTTCTGAAAGGTTGTGGATTAGGACCGACTCTGCTTTTGGAAAGTAACAACAAAGTAAATCATTGCAACACACGTATTAAAAATCTAAGAGGATAAATTTCTAATGTTGCAATGTGAAAGCAAACACATGGGTGCATTAGATTTTCTGAAACACTAAACTGTACATTAAAAAATCTACACTTAGCTCATGCTTGATTAATTTTTCCACACAGATTAGGCTATACCAGTAATAATGTTTACAGTATATAGAGCTTTTCATCTTCAAAGTGCTCTACAGACATATTATTACACTGCTTTTTAGCACTCATATTTCTCCACTTTAAATTATTCACCACAGAATCAAAAGTCCCAATTGTTTGTAAACAAAACAAAAAAAGGAACATTTCATTCTAAACCTACTGTTAACTGGGCAGCTTTCCTTCCCAAAAATGTCCAACTCCATACCAGGTGCTGCAGAGTAGGCTGCCATTTCTAACTTAGAAGAGATTCAAATTAAATATTGGCATTTAAGTTTAAAGCCAAGTCTAAGACAGGGACAGCAGATGCACGATATCACACACAAAAAGCTGCTGAGATTTCCAAAGCCTTTTCTGGAATCCACTTGATATTTTTTTAAACAAGAAGCATCTTCTCCAAGTTCAAAGTTTTATACAGCAAAGAATAGGCTTCAAAACAACTGAAACGTGTCAGGATGACATCCATTCTTTCCACACAGTCTGCCTTCAGGTCAAAGAAGGTGGAAGAATCCTCCCTGCTCTCAGAACCTGGACAGCCTACTGTCCAAACAGACACAGCCCACTGTCCAAATCATTCAGAGTATGAGCCACAAACTGCAAAACTGGCCTGAGCCATTTTGAGAAATCCTACAGCAGGGTTGTAGGGCTCTCCTCCAGCAGGAGAGGTGTGGAATTCACTGCAAAATCAGAACTATCCTGGCCAAACTGGATCCAGGATAAGGCATTTCTCAGGCTGGCTGTTAGTGCTGTTGTGGAGGAAAGAATAAGGAAAAGCACATCTGAGACCATCTGGCTGCAAGATGAGTAATGCCTCTGATGGAGGTCCTGGGAACACACCAGCTCTGAAGGAAAAAAGACCATCTTCCCCTCACTAATACTTAAGGATGGAGAGGAAGGCTGATCCATTCCTGGAAAATCCATGCCCATCCATAATGTATGAGCAGTAACAGCCAGCAGCACCTGCCAAGGCATTCAAGCAGAGAGATGTAGAGCAATAGATTAGGTGGTCAGTGTACCTTTACCACAGACAACTGTTTTCCAACAGGACACAAGATTTCACTTCACCCTTTTGTTGATCTCAGACTCAATAACCACATTATTAATTGCACACGATGGGCACAAACTGAAAGCTATTTAGGAATGCTCCCTGTTTTGAACATCTAAACTGTATTCCAGAGAAAGCCACGTGCCTGGACTTCTTTAACCACTGGAATGAGCACAACAACCAAGAGAAAGGCTGAAAAAGGCATCTGTTGCTACCAGCCAAAAGGCAGAGGGAGCTGGAAGACAAACCCTGTGGTAAACATTGTCTGACAAGTCAGCAGCCCAGAGAAGCCCAAATCTCTTCCAAGTGCCTGGACTGCGATGGGGTTCAGT